ATTTTATTAAATTAATTAAAATAATATTTATTATAATTATTATTTAAAATATAATTATAATTTTAATAATTATTTTTAAAAATATTATTATAAAATTTTAATAATTAAAATAAATTTATTTTATATAATTTAATTATTTAAATATTATATAATTAAATTTAATATAATATTAAAATACTCGTATATTATATTTTTTATTTAATTTTTTAATTATTATTAAAATATTTTATTATTATATAATAAATTTAATTTAAAAAAACATAATATAATTATATTAAAATATTTATTTATATTTAATAAAATTTATAAAATTAATATTTTAAATAAATTACGTTTAAAAATAATTTTAATTAAAATATTCGTAATTACGATATATTAATTTATTATTAATTTATTATAAATAAATATAATTTTCGAATTTTAATAATTTTTAAAAATTTTCGTAAAAAAAAATATGCTTAAATTAATTCCTTTTATAATATATAATTACAGATTTTTATAATTTTTTTTTAACTAAGTTATTATAAATTATAACGTAGAAAAATGAAATGTTTTTCGAGATATATTAACCGGATAATTTTATATGCTTATTATGTATTCTATTATACACGTAAACAGCCTATGTAAATGGGAAGATAATTACATTAGAATAATATCGCTTCGCATATTACTCATTCTCGTGTATGTAAGAGAGATTAAATAATTCATTGATTGATTGCATAGGGAATTGCATTAGGACGGATTAGTCGTGAGCTCCTATCGCATCCCTCGGGATCATCTTCTAATACTCTATGCTTCTTCTATGTTTTTATATCTCTATGTCTCTATGTTATGCGCTTCTCCTGTAGCATACCTTCGTTAATTAACTCAGGAGACCCAATGTGTCCATCCTCTTTGTCCGAAGGGCTGATTTGCCCCTGTTCTCTGGTCGTGATGGAAGATTCTGCATCCGACGCCCCTTTCTCCGTTCTATGTAACCACCACTTAAAGAAAATCGTGAAGAACTGCGCCACAAATACCTGCTCTACCGTGTATAGAAGTACAGGCACTTGGATCGATGATATTGTAAAGTTGTCGTTGACATTAGACCACATGCCGGCGACCAACGGAATTCCCACGCTAGTCGTCTTAGCAGCTCCGCAGAAGCATACTGCCACCACAAGCTCTTTGGGCATGCGCCTAACCGTCAGCGCTCTCCTGACGATATTCGGAAGATAAGAGCCTAGCCGCGAATCAGCGACATTGCGGTTGATCAACCTGGCCAGGCTCTCCGGTGGTGACGCTATATAGAAGCAAATAGCAGTAAAGAAGAAGTACTCTGCTATGTTAAGAAACACATTAAATATCACTGAAGATTTAGGCAGAGTAGTAAGTGCCCCAGTTTCAAACGCCCCTGAAAATGTTGACCTTGCGATAAGTTAGTGTTTGCTATACCACACAACAATCCCTGAAAGAACTCCAGGTACTTACCAAGCCACCAGTATCAACATAAAGGAGCAAAACTGTGCCAGATAGAATGTTTTCAGCGTCCAGGTAACTTGTTTCGGGAAAGCCCATCGTAGACTCTGACCAACGACAAGAGGAATCAGCACACTAAGACCGAGCTGCTTCATGACATCCGCATACATTGGTCCTAGTGTGTCCGCTTGCGCTGGTCTAAGTGCATCGAATTCTTCAGTGGTAGGGAGAAATGCGTAAATCAGCCACGGTGAAAGAAATGACCCAACTACATTGCCAATCACCACCTCGATGATGGCAGCAGCTTCATCGCCGCCGGCATTACGCGTCATAACCACATTCGATGCTACTGTGGTTGGTATAGCGCCGAGAACGATCATGCCAGTGAGGATACTTGCAGAAACCGTCCCGGAGCTCACGCCGCCAGCAGCTATTATTATATGGACTATGACTGTGTAGGATCAATATTAGCAAGATAGTGTCATTTCGACAAGGTAGCTGAAGGTACATACTTAATTGAATAACTGGTATGAGAATGAGACTTATTCCCTGCACAACAATGTGTAGGCGCCAGTTCGTCACATGTTCCTTAAGCTTTTCTGGGCTCAGTTGCATGCCATTGATGAAGAATATCAGGGCGATGCCTCCATACAGGATCGAGTATTCTGATCGGATAATGCCACCGCGAGCCGCAACGTCTAGATTGGGGTCGGTGAGCAACCGAGTGCAACTTTGGAGAAGTGGTACAACATTTTGAATGTTATTTAGGTACTTACAAGGAAAGAAATATCCCAGGACACAAGCGACACCGAACCCTACCACCAACCAATTTCTTAGGATAAACCCAAAAACTTTTTTCACAGCCCGAAAAGCCTTTGATCGCTCCTTGGGATCGGGTTGCCCATCCGTTCCGGGCGGTATACCCATTTCTTTCGGTGTGCTCTCACGCGAGTATCATAGCCGAAGGTCTTGGCAGAAAAAATAGTATGTATATTTCAGGCTCGGATGATGATTTCTGGTGATCATCGAGTCTGGAGAATTTAGATTATAGATATTCTACGGTACAATACTACTCATCAAAGAGATTATCAGTAATGGTTGCGATAGATACTACTCTCAAGCACGCAAGCGACTATTCCCGATGATATTCCCATTTGGTTATCCCCTATCCCCGATTTTGCCAATTAAGGAAGCTGATACTTACTGCTAAGCCGATGCCGGTGTTGCTGCCGGAGCGCTTCGGATCAGTACACATCTACGCCAGATGGATAAGATAGTGAGACATTTTACATATAAGAACTGCTTATGTAGATCTCAATGGCATTCAAATCACATATCAGACCTGGTAGGTCCGGTGTATCTGAGTTCGCAGGTTGCAGTTCCGTGATTTTCGATAAGCGATGCATATTGGTTTCATTCAGTGCGGTCGCTGTGATCCACACCCACTAGCTACTAGCAACATGATGAGCAAAAAAAAAGCATTCTTAGAATTCACAATCTTGAGAGCTCGCCTTGATTTTTAAAACCTATACGACCGGCCCGTCGCTTTCTTCGTCCCGTCGTCTCTCGTTTGATATTTTCCTTTCGTGTATACAAATCCCAGCAGCTTAACTATTATGATATGCGTGCTTTTGTGGTTTATGGCTGGTGGCATAATAGCAGGAGTCCGGAGAAATTTACAGGATCCGTAAATCTGTGAGAATCGGCGCTGGATATACTAGTTAGAAGCCGGGGGAATGGGACTGAGAGGGGCCTTCCGAGACCCTGATACGGAATAGGATCGGTTCCGTACCCGAGATGATACTTGTTCAAGCAAATGCCAAGGCCATCTTGCAATTCCTTTTCGAGGCAATGATCAGAATTACGATTCAGTTTTTGAATTCATGTGGCCGGCTCCCTTATGCCCGATGGAGAGGAGATCTATTCTCCGTTCCGCTCCAAGTTCCGAAGGTATCATTCCCCCTGCGGCTATGTGTCGGAGCTCTGCTTTGGGGGTTCGCTCAGCTCTAAACTGCTACATAGTACAATTATCAGCTCTATTAACGCCTCGTGTGTACTACCCCGGATTCCTCCTCATGATCTACACCACAAATCTTCACCGCTACTGCTAGAGACTGCTAGAGACTATTGTACGATCAGGCCATACGGCTGCACAATGTTCACCTTGTCGGATTACAGTTACTTGTTCTGGTTGTCTGTCTGGAAAATCATTGGACGTCGCTGAATCGATGGCCTGACCTAGCCATCTGTTACATTTATTTCCTTGAACTCTGCCACGCGGTTCCATGGATTTGGTAAAACTTGCGCAGGCTCGCAGAATCTGTAGCTGTATCCAACTAGTGTCAATATTCGGCTCCCGGCACGGAATATCCAGTGTTGTATTCCGGAGTAGAAACTTGCCGTCATTGTGATTCATCATAGGCTGGCAAGGGAAGTTGACTAATTATGAACAACCTTTGCCATTTGCTTGATCCAAAATGATTCTAATTAGGGCGGTATTTCCTCGGGTTAGCTGGCTATGCTGCTAGCTGCATACATTTCGCCCCTCTGCCCCTCCCCAGCTGTCTTACTATGTACAAGGTATCCCCCCTATCAGATGAACGGACGAATGACCGTGTGTCAGACGGGATTCCTAAACTATAAATAGGTTTAGCTGGACGAAACTTCAACAATCGGAATTTAGCCTTCTCAAGTTGGCAAGGCACTTTGGCGGAGTGGTTAACGCGATGCCCTGCTATGTATAGTGATGCCTCATCGACGGTGATCATCACGAAGTAGTGAAGGCATTCCCTTCGGGGGCGTGTGTTCGAATCACACAGGTGTCGTATCTTACTTTTTGCCGATTTCCCTTCCCGTTCCTTCCCTTTCCATGCCCCGCCATCATCCTTTTTTCACCGGAGGCGAGTTGCAACCATCCCCGAGCCTTCCATCGACTGCATAATTCATAATTAAGGAGAAATACGATATATCATTGACAACCACTTTTTTCTTAAACATGTATTGCAACATAGTAAGGAAAAGAGGCTAATTTCATGAAGTCACTTGAAAATATTGGCTTGAGTTTGATATTTGGTAGATGTTGAAGATGGATACCTGTAGATAAGTTTCAAGTACTATTTTACTATGTGAAGAGAGTGTTCCCAAGGCAAGCGTAATATCCTGAAAAGCGAGCAACGGCGAGTAATCTCGGTTGGTGTTCGGCGATGAGGCGATTCACGGCCAAAGCCTGGAATTTCTTTGAACTAAAATAGCGTAGGCCTGCCGCTATGACCCTTTAGCATAGAGCCAATGGCATCTAATGTGCGACCATCACTAAAACGTAAGGATATAGACCGCAAAGAACCAACGATATCCATGTCAGGTTGTCTCAACCCCTTCAGTCAAATCCGATATGGTGTAACGGTTAGCATACCTCGTTTTCAAGCCATCAAAGCAAGTCTTTGAAGCTGAAATCCGAGGACATCGGGGTTCGATTCCCCGTATCGGAGTCATTATCTTTTGCGTTTTTGTCAGTTTTTTTGTATCTGCAACGTAGGTACGAATCTAATAGATTTATACATGGTATGTGGTTGTTGTGTTGATACCATATTAAATTCACGAAGATGCATTCTTTTAAAAGATTGTAGGAAGGTGCATTCATCTGCCACCAGTGCAGAGAAATACATGGCAATAACACCATTGCCCACTGCAGGCAATCACAGCCAGGGGTTAAGCTTAAGCTGATAGCTTAGTTACACGTGTGACGTCAAGGATATTTGCACCATTTTGCTGAGCCTCTTCCTCACAGTTGAAACAATTCTGAACCTCGTCAACTAAAACTTTTGGATTCGCATTCGCATTCATATTGCCCACTCCATTTCATCTCTTCACCTCCTGTTACCTTCTTCTACTTAATATCTCTATATTCTTACCTATGAATTCCTACTATCATCATTATTACGGTACATAGTGGCGCCTAGCGCAGAGAATGGAATTACCAAGTTTACAACCTCCACTATCTTTTGCTGCACATTGGACACGTGCACTATAGCATTTACTTATGCCTATTGCCTATTGCCTATTACCTATTACCTGCGAATAGCATCATTTACCACAATTGATTAACCTACATTGCAGGACAGGAGGAAATCATTATGCCGAATGCCCACGAGGCCTTCAAGGCCCTTGGTCCTATTAATTGGGATGACATCGCTCAGGACGAACTCGATACCTTCCTAAAAGACGTCTTTAACGATGCGCAATGCATAATCGACTCGATTCCAGTATCCCTCACGTCTTCGCAAAAATCCGGTAGAGCACGATCAGCAACTGACTCGAATATCTCTCTACCTGGCAGGACCCCGCAGTCGGCGGAACGTGTCGCCGCCCTGAGGAAAGATTGGAAGGAGGTGAAGGTGAACCCACGCGAGAACCCCTTAGGCCTAGACGTCTACAAGCTGGCTGCGAAGGATGGGAGGGGTGCTTGGTTTGCGAGGCGTAGCGTGCACGAAGGCCTAACGTTTGAAAAATGGAAGCTAGGTATGGAGAAGGAACTTGACGAGAGTATGAAGGTCCAGGGTTCTCCTGGTGATGGAAGCATTAGAGGCATAGGTGCCGATAAGAAATTCGTCAACCAAACGGTTCCAGGCAGAGGCAGGGTGCAAGGTAGGTTATGCCATCATCAAATCCCAAAGCAAGTTTCACATGGAAGTATCAAGAGAGCTAACGAGTCGGCCTAGTCTACCAATTGTCGGCGCAATTCCCAGGACCGACAACTCCTCGAGACTTCGTTACTCTTCTGCTGAGTTCCGATACAGCTGTTGACGCACCGGGAACACCCAGACACTTCATGCTTGTCTCCAAACCATGCATCCATCCGGAAAGTCCACCGAGACAAGGATACATCCGCGGTCAATACGAGTCTGTGGAGTTTATTCGTGAGATAAAAATAGAGAAACCCCTACGAAAAATTCGATCATCAGTCGATCTACCAAATGACGAGGCCGCAGTGTCGATGCGCAATTCTAGCGAAAACATCAATAGGGAGGCAACTATCCGATCTGCTCGCCAGGCAGGGCAATCTTCATCTACAGCTAAGAGCGAAGAGGGAAGGAAGCGAGGCAAAACGATTGGGTCTACAGATGTCATAGAAGATAAGGAGGATGACGATTACGAGACTGCCGTTGAATGGTTGATGGTAACAAGAAGTGATCCAGGCGGCAGTGTACCACGTTTCTTGATCGAAAGGGGCACGCGTAAGTAACTCTACGTCCCTGAGTCATCTACTGAGAGCTCCCTTTTTCCCACGGAATTACCGCGCTCCGTTTACGAGTGTTGTATCACGTTTTACCGCAAGAAAATACTAACTTTGAATGCTGCATAGCTCCTGGAATTGCCGGTGATGCAAACAAATTCCTGAAATGGATCTCGTCTAAGTCTATTGATGATTTTACCGAAGACGATAACGAAGACTCGAAACTAAAGCAGGATGCATCAAAAGCCGAGAAAGCGATCCATGAGATGCCGACATCCGCAAACTCTACACCGAACTTAGCTAAAGCACCGACTGCACCACGACCATCAGCTACTATGGAAAGTGAAGTGACAGAAGAGCAACCTGCCCCTGGCGGGTTTTATGGCATGATAGCAAATGCCTTGAATGCCGCGGCTTCTGTAGCCACCTCCCGTCTTCCCAACCCCTTCGGCTCGGTCCAAGGAGGCGACACGGAGTCATCAGACCTCTCCTCTGAACCTGCCAACGATGACGCATCCTCTGTCCACAGCTTCCACAGTCTCGAGGCCGAAGAAGTTGATGGTAACGACATTACCTCCTCTAAGCCAAGAGACAGTTCAGCACAACTCACACCATCCGTCACGAACGGTGTCGCAGAATCCACACGCTCGACCGACTCCCTTGGGGCTCATTCCACGGCACCATCAAAGCACGAGAAGGAGCTCAAGAAACTCCAGGATCGCATGCGCAAGACGGAAGAAAAGCTGAAGCAATCGCAGGATAAAGCTTTAGCCAAGCGTGGTAGCGAGGATGCGACATCCCAACGTGACGAGGCCGCAATACAAAAGCTTCGCGAGAAGCACGACCGGGAAGTGTCCAAACAGCTGGAGAAATACCAGCGGGAGCTTAAGAAGATAGAGGCAAAGCGGGAAAGCGAGCAAAAGAAGGCGGACGAGCGAAGACGCAAGGCCCTAGAGAAGGAGGAAAAGTCCAACCTGGCCATGGAACTAGATAAGGTCCGGGCGGAGCGAGACATTGCACGCGTCCAGATGGATATCCTCAAGGAACAGATCGGCGACCTCCAGGCGCAGAACACTAAATTAGTTGCGAGACTGGGCCGCGAGGGTATCTCGGTAGATGATGTTATCACGAATGACGGGGCTCCGGGAATTAAGAGGGCTATGACGGATCAGATGCCCGAACGGGAGGCTCTGAAAAGTAACACTAGCTTCCATTCTTAGAGAGAGGACCAGGCTAGGCGGATGATGCACAGGGCTTTATACATGTGCTAGGAGGAGAGAAGGTTGATTAAGGGTGAAGCAAGCAAGCGAGCGACCAAATGCGTACGATACCACTGCGATAAAGCTTACGAGGCAGCATATATTACATGTGCGGAATAAATGTGCTGAGTTGGATTATCTTGTCTTCGGAGTAACAGCATCGGCCCTTTACAAGTATAGGCAATATACGAAATAAGTGAGATAATGAAGTCATGATTTATTCATACGCGGTTTCGACATCGGGTATTACTCCATATGTAAAGCGAGAAATATGAACCGATATGTTTTTGTAAATGCATGTCATTTCACCCCCAGATTTAGGACATTTATTCCACTCGCCCATCCAATTCAATCACACATCCCAAGCAACAACCCATGAACCTGGCCCTTCCGTCCCTCGTCCCGGAATTGACGCATGGCCCGTTCGACCTCCTTATCACCAACCCTCGCCAGCGCAGCTCCACTGATCAGAATCCGCGCGGCTATAGCGAAGACCTCCGGTTTTGAGGTCCAGCCCAGCGGGCCGTCAACTCCCTCTCTCTGTGCCAGACGCGTTAACGTCTGCAGACCTGCGAGAGTCCATTGCGAAAGCGCTGCTTCTGCTTCTGCTGCTGCCGACGGTGACGAAGGAAGCGACAAGAACACGTCTCTCCACCGTTGGGTCTCGCGCACTTCGTCCACGTACAAGTTCTGCTCCTCGACGACGAAGAGCGCGTCGTCGAAGCGCATAGCTTGCTCTAGTTGCTCTTCGGCTGGGACCCAGGCTCCGAGTAGTTGTGCGGCAATAGTCTTCTTGGCCGAGGAGGACTTGCCAGGGGTTTGCTCAACTAATGGAAAGTGCCCGACCATCCGACAGGTAACGTGCGCTCTGAATTCGTCCACGGCGCCGTAGTGTGTTAGGAGATATTGTAAAAGGCGCGGCCCTGCCTCGACGGAGACTAGATTCTGGTTTGATAGCACGGGTGCGACCGCGCCGGCCGCTGCTGCGCGGATTTCGTCGTCGTCGTCGTTCAAGGCGTCGTACAGAGCTAGGAGCCATGGTAGATGGGACGAATCGAGGACTACTTCGGTAGTTTTATTTAAGGGGGCGATGCTTATAGAAAATGAATGCATAGCTTGAACAGAAGCTAATCGAGTGTCGAATGTCTAGATTGTCGATTAGCGCTGTACAGGAGAGCCAGTCGAGCTTTACTTACCCGATCCGCCATTCCAGCATCGCTCATCATCATGCCCCAGGACCTCAGCCACCATGACATTGGCGGAGTTTGCATGTGTCCTGCTTCGTTCTGCGAGACAGAGATCGCTAAGAAGGCCCCGCTTACACGGATGATGGCGTCTGATAGACTTGGATTCATAGGCTTCTTATGCAGATCGACCCAGAGCTTGAATATTATCTCATGCGCAGGAATATACTTGTATCCCGTTTCTTGCGTGCTGGATAATGCTTTATCCAATAGAGTCGCTAGGCTTTCGAGCGCAATTGTTCTCGGTTCGGGGGCCTCGGTCTCGAGGCATACTTGGATATATGCATTGACGAGATTTGCTCGAGCCTCATCAGATTGTACATAGTGTGTAGAAGACGTGCTCTCTAGGATTGAGCAGGCCACGTTGATATCATTCGTTAGAGCTGCCGTTAGGATACGGCTCAAGCCTGTCAAGTTAGTACTCGATTCCGTGTTCGGCTGTTGCAATGTATTCTGGATAGCAGCCTGTCCGAGTCTGATATTGAGTAATGCTGATGGACCTATATCTATTCTCGACTGGTAATTAGGCTCGAGAACTCGATATGGCAATAGGCTCCAAGCCTCAACATCAAGATCGGCCTTGGGTGCATTTCTTGTCTGGGTTAATCCTAACACGAAGCTGGAAATTTCGACGTAGACTGCGTTTGCTTCTGAGCATGTACAAACAGAGTTATTTATAGCTGGTAGCCTTTGAAGCAAGTCGTACAAGGCGCTGATAGTGTGATCTGCAAGCGTTTAGTTGAAGCCCTTAC